TTCAAGCTGGCATGTCTCACTTGGCTGCAGTCACAAATAAAGGGGATCTCTTCATGTGGGGACACAACAGAGGTGGTCTTCTTGGCTTGGGACATGATAAGGACCAGTATTTTCCTCTCAGGGTCTGCCTTTTTTTTTATTCACATTTATGTTCTATTCCTCTCTCAGCATTAGGATTATTGTTGTGTGGAGAATGCTCCCAAAAATTGGATTATTTTCTATGAGTAACTTCTTATATGATCTGTTCAGAGGAGGCATGATGAAGGATGAAGATGGAAAGATCCATTCAAGTAGATAAAAGTTGATAGTCTTGAAAGTCCTTGTTATAAGGAATCTGGATTTCTAAAAAGGTGGCACTTTTGGCAGTTTCTGATATCTCATTTTTTTCACCTTCACAGTTCCCACATGTTCAGTTATTTTGATAATCCTACCAATGCCAATTGTATAGTTATATTGTAGAGCTTCTTCCAAATTCCTAGTGGCCAATTTTAAATATATTTTCCATAAGAAATGTCAGACTTGAGGTAATTAAGTTTTTTATTTTTAAAAAGTTTGCACTGGTGTCCTTTTTTCATTATTCTATCTTCAAAACTTAATGTAAATGTAATGTTGGTTTTAAAAAAACCAATATGATATTTTATCGTTGACCATAAGAGCAAGAAATATATAGCTGGTGAGTTATGGAAGCATTATATGAAGAGTTGACTTGAGATACATGGTCAGTTGACTTGGGGCATTGCTTATATACTATATCAGTGGTTAATGGCCATTGTTGGATCATGATCAGTGAATAATAAAAAAATTGATGAAATTCATAAACCAATTTATAAATTTCTGAAAGGGTTCATATTAATATATAGGAAGCAATACTTATACCAGGAAAAGCTGCTATGTAGAAACCTATTGGTATTGGATTGGCAAAGTATGAGTTGGAGTGGCATTCAATGAACATGCAAATTTTTCTGTACAATCAACTGAGCACTAGTTAGGATTATAGTAAGCCTTCAAGTGCTGAGTTTTGACTCAACCTCCTAAGTGATGCACATACAGTGTATGTGAAAACGGCTTGAAGGGTTAATAACACTGTAAACCTCCATTCATATCTGCCTCTTCCTCTATTGCAAGACCAGTTCCATAACTTTTTATTCATTCAGTCCTCACATACTTGCCATGCATAAATTTTTGTGATGATAATTTTCACCTGCACCTTGAAAAATTGTTATACCTTCAATTTGCATCTTATTTGTGCAGAGGTACTGCCATTGGACTGGAATGTTTTCAATGTTTATATACAAATTATTATCAGTCAACATTTTAGGCTCAGTTTCCTTTGGGATTTTCAGTAGTCAAGTGCCAACAAACACCAATCCAAATATATCAAAATTTTGGGAAGTATTGCTTGAGCAAATCAACATGCTTTTCATGTTGTCATATGAGATTTCCTTATTCCAGATTCCAAGGGGCTTGTTTACCTTGTTCCTCCTTGTGGAAACTTCATCATGGATTCTGGATGAAGAGTCTTGCCTTCATGTTCTGCTTAGATTTTTTAAAAATGTTTTTCAAAACATGAAAAAAAATCCAAACATTTCATGTTTGCATGCTTGATGTTTTTCAGAACCTTGGTTAGTAGGCATTGAATGTCATAGCATGTGCCAAGAGTAGAGGATTTTTAGAGTGAATTGCAATATTGATGTAGCCTGGGAATGATTGATTCATGTAAGGTGCTGTGATGTGTGTGCAGGTGGCAGTAGGTGCTCCAGTGAAGAAGGTGACTTTGGGAATAGATCACACCATGGCTCTGTGTCGTGACCCCATCTGATTGATTTTAGGGAATTATTTGTTAATTCATGAAAAATAAAGGATCTCCTCATCTGTCAATCTCATCCTAAGTCTCATTTGTGATGGTACCATTCCCATTAAACTTCATAGGTAGCTGACATTGCATGAATCTGAAGCACTGCTACTTCATGAGTCAGATCCTAGGAAAATGGACAAATTATGGCTCAAGAGTTATGACTCACTAGGTCAGAACTCAAGGTGGAGTGGGCCCTTGGAGTGTCATACCTTTTTGCACATATTTACAACATTGACTTGCAGTGCTGATATGACCAAACATACTTTGACACACCTTCGAACTTATCGTCATGACCCTGCTAGTGAGGAGTTGTACAGGGTCTTGCATAACCTTTGGCTTGGGGATACAGCTATTATGGATTGTAAAAAATTAGTGTTTATGCATATTTTCAAAGCTAATTTTGTTTTCAATTCCCATTTGCCGTTGAAATTTAAAATTTCTAGGGTGGTTGGCGATGACGAAAGTCAACGTGTTCGAGCATTCGAGCATACGCCTATGGAGAAGCAAGGGAAGCAGGTTTATCAATTGAAACTGGAAATCTCACCACTGCATCGCATGGAGAGATGGAGTTACTGGCAACTGCAACAAAGGATATGAATCTTGTTTTACGAAATTTGATAACGGCAGGCCGGAAAAATTGTCTGAAGTGAGAAAAAACATTGTGTGGATAACTGTGGGGGGGGGAAAAACAAAGTTGGAAACTGCAGTCGAGCAAAAATCATCTCGCGTGGCGTGGAAAGCTAATCAATCTAGTCAACGAAACGACGATATTGTATCAAGAAAGGAATGAAGGAAAAAAGAGAAATTAGTGAAATTGGTTCTGACCGAAATTCGGAAGCGGTTCTCCTTCAAAACTTCCAAAATGAAACGTACCTTTTTGAAAATTTGTTGAAATTATACCCTCAACGTTTGAGGGCTGTACGTGAAGCCAATGGCGGTCACACAAAATACTTATGCATTACTGTATTCAGGATAATTAAAGGTTTAAATTGGTATATAATTTACAATTGTTCTATGTGTACTTAAGGTTTGTACCCCCCCAGCAAAAGGTTATGCAAGACCTTGTACATTTATCATATGACCAGATTTCCGTGTCGCGAAAGTGGAACGCCCTACAAATACTTCCCCTTTGCCTCTTAAAAAAAGAATACGAATGCATTTTGTTAGACAGACTATTGTATCTGTTATTGTCAAAACAAGAATTAGAAATTAGAACTGTTATTTAATTGTGCATCTACAGTAGCCCTAAATTGGGTGGGGGGGGGGGAAGTTCTTTTGGCTTGTCTTCCAAATGTCTCCGAATGCAAGAAGGCGTTACCAAATCATCAGAAGAGGAAAACGCGAAACGACGTCAAACACGCCAACATAGAAAGTGAAACGAAAAATTTTCATGAAATGGTGGAAGCAGAATTGTTTAAATTCTGCTTAAATAAATTATACAAGTGCATTCGATATTTGAAGCAAAGCTAAAGATGAACAGATTTAATTTCAGAGTTCGGGATTCAGCCCAGTGCAGACGTGCAACTGGAAATTCGTTAACCTGTATGTTATTCATGATTTTCATCCAAGTCGCGATCCCGTTTTCAGAAAATTTTTCAGCAACGTCACATTTTCACTATACTGCAGCGAGTAGCCACATGCGACTGGCGTGACCTTTGACCTTTGGCGTGACCTATGTAGCCTCGCTCTCTGGTCGTTTGCTCGAGATCTCTTTCTGCGGAGAGGGAGAGATTCTATCGTGAGCGGGGGTACATTTGCACATTTATGCCCGGCCTCCTCAAAAATTCTCAGGAGTCACTTTCCCATACAATTTGAAAAAATATATTAAGATATCAAACATCTGAAAGAAACCTTTAAGAAACAATGGAATTCATTCGCAATTGACCCAAAACGAGCCAAGCCCGGTCTCTGAAAGTTGACTCCTGTCCAGAATCGCGGATGAGAGGCCTGGAGGCTTCCCCTGGCTCGTAGACAACTACAGGGTGTTTCAAAAGCTGTACAAATGCTGTATATACTTTACTTCTCTTTTTTTTTGTTGAGGAATTTGGATTGAGTATTGAGCGATGAATTTCTGAATGATGTGTTGATAACGTTCAGCATTTACAATTTATGTGGAAAATGCGGGACCCACAATACCTAATGCAATAGCTGATTTGCATGTATTCCAGTTAAAAATACAGGGTGTTTCAAAAGTCCGTACTCATGGGTATTTTTAATTAAATTTCTCAATGAATTACCAAAATTGTGCACCTGCACCAAAATTAGTACAGAAGTACTAAGAAATATTCAAAGGGGTTAGTGCCAGGATTGACATGTGTATGCAAGTTTATGGCATGCGATTTGAACATTTAATGAAATAAAGGTAAATTAGGAAATCTGCCTACGAGTCCGGACTTTTGAGACACCGGGACATGCGGTCTGAAAGTGGGACTGTCCCGCCGAAATCGGGACGTCTGGTCACCTTAATCATATATGAATAGAAGTTTATTCCCAAAAGGCACACATCATGACACAAACGATCAGCACATGATTGAGAATCATGACGCCTTCATATCCATCCCCAGTTACGACAAGAAGCGCATTTCCTCTCAAACCCATACAGTGGAAATATCCTTGTTTTGACCGGTGGTGAGAAGTTCCATGATTTCTCATGGATTTCATCGTTGAGGAATCAGGTGGACTGTGGTATTAAATATTTTCAAGCATCCAAGCATTTATTTGAGAGTTAAAAGTAAAAAAATGCAGTCAGAAGGACTTTGTCTTCACAGATGAAGAAGATCTGCTCGCTTTTGGACAGATCGACAATCTCATAGATCCATGAATTTGCGAATTTACGAAAGAGAAGTTTGACACGAATCGGGAGCCATGCAAGTCATAATACAGAAAGGCAATAAGAATGCGAAATATTTGCTCCTTTCGTCCTTCAATTCGGCTGGGAGTGTGAAAATCGGCGCAGAATCGAAGCCTCTCATCCAGAAATTCTCGAAAGCGATCCAAGTACTATATATATCCTGGATGACTAAAATGACACGCACGAGTAATGTATTACATGCATACGTAGTGTTCCTCGACTGATTTATCACAGAATTTGTAAACACTTCGTGACTTGGTCGATTTAAGAGAGCAACAGACAAATGCTACAGGAATAGAGAAGATCAACGAGATGCAAATATATTCAGTTCTCATTCGACCCCTTCCCTCTCAAGTCGTGGCAGCCTGTTCGAAGAACTTGGCCCTCTCCAAGAAATCTTGCTTCCGCTGTTTCGCCTGCTCCTTCTTCAACCGCCGCTCCTCTTGCTCCTGCTTGATCTCCGCCTCGAATCTCGACGACAGGGTCTGATCTTGGATCTTGAAAAAAAAAAGCATCATCATCATCATCATCATCATCAAGGGCTTCCGGTATCACCATCAACCATGCCAGCAATGGGTGCAGAAAAACACGATTCCACGAAAAAACAGCGCTCTCCCCGAGCTCGAGTGGATATCGCCCCCTCTTTCCTCGTTCGTTGCTCGAAATTCTGCTCACCGATCACTGCGATTTCCTCATGGTTGGAAGGTCTCTTAGTTCCCTTTCATGTTGGATAAATAATTATTTAAAATGCATGGCTACTCGTGCAGGAGGTACGATCAGGTGATCGAGGAAAGAAGGAAGGGATCGTCCCGTCCGCTGCCTCTCCACCGTCAAGTTTTTTTGTTTTGTTATGGGAATGGTGTATTCATAGGGAGGCCGTAATTCTGCTCCATGCTATAATTCTTCCTTTGGAAAGTTTCGAGAAACATCATAGTCTGCATCCATTCAAGCAGCACAACTTATGGTTCAAGAATAACTTGACGTCCCCCCTCCCCCCAAAAGACAAAATCGATCGGGGGAAGGGCGATTGCCACCCTGAACCCGCCAAGGAGCCACGCTTGCAGCATACAGACGAGACGGTATATATAATATATACATATATCATACCACGTACCTTGGCCTCGAAGAAGTTCTTGGCCCCTCCGACGCCGACCTTGTGGACGTCGACCTCGGTGAGCTTGGCGAGGGCTTGCAGACCGGAATCCTCCGACAACTCATCGGCCGCCGCCTTCCGGAAGATCAGCAGGAACTGCCGAGATAAAACGACGACAAAAATCGTTTTGCCGGGAGAACGGGATGCCGCGTGCGTACGAACCCGAAGACCCAAATCCCCTAATGACTTCCCGCTCGAAATACCGACAGGACGTGGGAGAAAGTTCATCGTCGTGACTTATCTGTCGCTGGAATCTCGAGGGTGACACACCGAGGAATGGGGGAGAGACGCATCACATACCGTCATCTTTCGTCTCTCGATGTCGAAGATGAAATTGATGAGGGTGTCTCCCCCCCCATATGCCCTGGAGACTGTCATCTCACACTTGAGTTCTTCCACCCCCGGTCCCTCCCTCCCCCTCTTCTTCCATTTCTGGCACCTCAGAGACTAAATGTTATCTAATATTTTTTTTTTCTTTTTTTGTTCCTTGCTATCATGTAATGCGCTCTCCTCCGAGCGAGGCATATTTCTTCACCAGAACCACAAGCGAGAATTTGTGATACGAACACGGCGGGTCGGCGATCCGACCGCAAAATCGCGGCCCGAAACGAAACGGACCTCACGATAGGAGATCATTCCGTCTTGGTCCTCGTCCACTTCGGCTATCATCTCCTTGAGTGCCAGATGCGTCTGCGGGGCACCCAGGCTCTGCATCATCTTCTTCAGCTCCATCAAGTCCAGCACGCCGTCTCGTTTCGTGTCGTACCTACGGGAGTACGAGACGATGGGGGATCGTGGCATGCAGTACGAAGAACGAATGGTGACGATTCGGAGGTACTCGACCGATGGCGAGCGAGAGGATCAAACGTGCAAAAAGCGCAAGTAAAAAAAAAATGAAGGAAGATAAAGAGTACCGAACCGAAGTCCCATGGTTCATCGGCTCATTTCCTGGAATGGGTTTCAACCCTTTAACGATGGGCGCTCCAAAGGAGGCACGCGGGAGGCTTTCGAGCAGATCTTCCATCGTCCAGGATGGAGGAAACGAAAACAGACGACTGCGAAGTCGAAAGTCATCTCAGAAGATGTATCACAGCATTCCTTTGGTATTATAATGCACCAGTCTGCGACGGGGTCTACGAGCAGCCTTTCGTAGTGATTACCGAGTGCCAAGTCTCGCGTGCGAAGATAAATTTTACTTTGATTTTACAAAAATACTTTGTAAATCATATCAAAATAATAAAAT